TGGTCTTGCATTCAAAATCAGGGCGTCCACAAAACGGAAAGCAGAATAGCCAGTGCGCAGGCGGGAAAAGTTGCAGGCCAGTGTCTCCCAGGCACATGGGTGGGATGTTGCATCTTCCGAGCATAGGCTTTGTAGTATTTTAAAGCTTACGGCTTGTTGTGATGAATGGCGCTTCGGAGATTTGTGAGAAGGTTTTTTCTGGCAGGGTGAGGGGAGAAGGATGATTTTGTACTGGGACCGAACGACTGTGCTGCCTCAGCTTGGTCTTTTCAAGCCTTTTCTTTGTTGTCCTTTCGGATGAATGCATGATGCCGAACATTGGAATTGATGAGACAGAAGCTGCGAACCCCCGAACGTTTACGGGAAACCCTCCAGCGTGTTTTTTTTCCTGAGCCCACAAGTACGTGACCAAGCCTAGATCCCAAACCCAAACTAGCACACAATTTTGATCTCATGCTGAGTGATGCAGGTGCTGGAAGTACAGCAGGCGCAGCTGAAGTGGTATCTTGGCTTGAATGGAACGTTTTCCAATAGCTCAATGCGGAACTGTAATTTTTATGCGGTGTTAACGTTTGGCTGTTTCTGTGCGCATTTTCAACCGAGTGCAACACGTGAACGGACAGCAGTACTTGCCTTAGCTCATGCCTGTTGCCGTAGGAAGGACCAAAAGCAGGATAGTGGGCCTTGCTTCCACAGTCATATTGAAATTGTCATCGAACTTTTCCTCATACAGATGGCAGTACCACTTCTACAGTCCAACCAGACAACACGTTTTATCCCCATGTGTCGCGAAAGGTATGACCTGCAGCAGTTGGCAAAAAAAACCGAGCTGGAGGCAAGGCACTTGTGCTTTTTTGAATCGCCGAACAATTCCCACGGTTTTGGCGGGAATTTGTCGTTTTCAGTTGCCTTTTGATACTTGGGTTGAGCTGTGGGGTTTAATTCGTTTCCTTGCATCCCCCCCAGAACAACCTCACTCTACCTGCCCGGTGCAGAGAAAGGTTTCGGCTCGGAGTAAGGGTGCAGGGACCCCAAGAGCTGGATGCCAGAAAGCACGCAACCCCAATCTTGAAAACCCAGAGCCCCAAAGACATGTAAATCGTTCAGGGCTAGATTTCATGAGTCCCCAAAGAGTGCCGCGGCCCTGAACCTCCCAGGCCCTCGAAGCTACAGCCGAGCTGGGATGTGTTGAGATTTTGTCAAACCCCATGACCCCGACCCCAAAGCCATAAACCCCCTAGGCCCGAAGCCCGAAACCGTAAACACTGCAGCCGAAAGTTAAACCCCGAGCCCAACGAGGTCCCCGTGGTGCAGCAGATCGTTGGAAGCGTCATGGCTCGGTGTGCCGACTATGTCCGAGAGGAGAGCTTCAAGACTTGGCAGGGGTCTTTCAGTTTGTTTTGGTCTTGTATGGTATAAGGGGTGTCTTACGCTTCAATACTTAGCCCCAAGCCTGTGGCTTAGGGTTTGTTTGGGGGCCGGAATCATTTTGAATAGTACCCCCTTATATGCCCTTTATAATGGTCCGAAAATCTACCCCTCACAGCCCTATTCCAATTCTTAGTGGCCCCTATATTCACCCCAACGCCTGTAAGGCCTGGAACCCTGAAACCTACATAACCCACTAAAGTCCCAAGCTCCACTTATACAGCCCACAAGAAGTTGAACTCCACCCGAGACAAGACCCTAGATCCTAAATCCCCTAAGCCCTAAACCTTCTTCCTTAACCCGCAGCCCTCAGCCCGGAAACCTTAAGCCGTACTGAAGTCACGAAAGCGACAGACCCAGGGTCTGTTTGGAACTGCGGACTCACGCTTGTGGATTAAGAGCTAACCTTAGACCCGAAAGTCTAAACTGAACTCCGAACCCGGCCAAAACGCAACGCAAGCTCACTCTTCCACTTCCAAGTCCGATGCCCTTCAACAGCTGCGTACGAAGAGTTTTGGGGCTTTGTTTTGGGGTTTGGGGTTTAGTTAAGGTTTACCCGCAGCCTGAGCTTATTGCTATGATGAGCATGCTGGTCATTCCACTCCTAGCCGAGATGGCGTTGATATAAGTTATAAGCCGTCATAGTCATAATCGTAATTAGTAATACCCTAAGGCTCAAAATCGCCCAAAAGCCTTATATATTAGGGTCCTTCGGCCCAAAAGCCTTAGAATATGAGTCCTCAGAGCCTTACTAATAAGCACAAATTGTGGGACGCCATGACGCGCCGGCCGCGGAGCCGGGGTGAGTCGCTGGTGTTGTGCTTGGCGCTCTGCGCCGCATGTCGAGAAGGCCTGGCTCCGCCGAGGGGCCCAGGGGCCGAAACGGTTTAGGCGTTTTAGGACTTAATTATGGGTTTAGGGTTTAGGGTTTAGGGTTTTAGGATTTAATTATGGGTCCCAGCGGTTTTTGGACATAGGGTTTTTGATTTGTATGACAGGATGTAGGGTTTGCACTTAAGGTTCAGGCTGCGTACTGTCAGCATAAGCTTATGGTTTCCGGGTTTGGGGTTTTAAGGTTGGAACTATGGTGGGATCCAATATGGTGGGATCAGTGGGCTTTCTAGGCCCAGAAGCTCGTGCTTGATTTGGGGCACCGGACGTTTTCCCAAAACCAGCGGTTAAGGTTTAGGGTATAGGGTTTAGGGCTGGAGAGTCAAAATAGTCCTGCAAGTTGGCGGTTTTGTGAGCGTGCGGTTTAGACTGTCGAGACTCGGGGTGTTGGGGCTTTCTGCGCTTCAACTCATCGGGGATGGTCATGGAACAGGCCTTTGGGGTGTTTAGCTGTTTCTTGAGAAGCATCAATCCAATACAGACAGGGGTCGGAATACACAAATAGTACCCCCTTATAGCCCGTAGTATTCCTATAGTACAATAATGCGCAACATATCCCACAACCCTCTTCTGATTATAAAGAAGCCTATAGTAGCTTATAGTAGGCTTTGGATTTGATGGGTGGTTCTTGGAATCGGGGTCGTCCTTCTTGGCCGCCTGCGTGGCGGTGGAAAGTTTGCAAGTGTCCAGCAGCAAAATTGAGTAGGAGTTTTAAGAGCCGTTTCGGACATTATCGCTATGGTAGCCTCTTGAGAGTTGCTTCAGGGCATCATCGGTGTTGTGGGGGTTTTGAGCACTTCGTCCCCCATACCAAGCCTGCACTCACGCGAGACCTCCCAGTCAGGCCTCCCCTCGGTTTGGGTTTAGGGTGTAGGGTTTAGGGGTTTAGGGTTTAGGGGTTTAGGGTCTAGGGGTTTGGGGTTTAGGGGTTCAGGGTCTAGGGGTTTAGGGGTTAGGGGTTTATTGGGGTTTAGGGTTTGGGGTTTAGGGTTTAGAGGCCGCACCCTCAAACCTTGAATGCTTCAGGCCTACAGCCTCAACAACAACGACGAAACCTGAACTGTGAGACTCTAAGTCCTCCCATCACCTCTTTAGAATGGTCTATCTCAAGTGTATCGGGTGCCAACAGGGTTGCTTTAAGGAATTCAGGGTTTATTAAGGGTTTTCAGTTCTACCTTTTAAGGAATTCAGGGTTTAAGGGTTTTCAGTGCTACCTCCGGGGACGCACCAAGCAGGCTCTAAAAGGGTATAATCAAGGTAGCCCTCAACAGGGGCTCCAGCTCAGACCCTACTCAAGCCCCAGCGTCCTTGGACCCCATAAAACCCCTTGCCCGAAACCCGCTGAAACCAGAAACCTCCGAATGGGGCTCAATAGTACACCTTTCTAGTCCTTATATACTTATGGTATACTTTAACTCTGTTGAGATTTTTCGGCCCCTGTAGTAGACGCCCATTGAAACCGGTCAAAGGATGGAGCGCCGCCTTCTGCGCAGGCAACCAGCCCTCCGGCCAAGATCGAGGGTCGATTCTACTCGAATGATCAGGGCACCTAGCAAGTAAGATTTGCAAGCTTCATACTATCCTATTGTATACTTTGTCTTTTCTACACTATGCTACACTATACAATATGATACTAGGGTTCTATAAGGTCCTAGAACGATCCTTGACAGCGGATAGCGGTTAGCATAACTCCATCGAGCGCTATCTAGAAATCTACTTGGTAACCCGTAGACTGAGACCCCGATTTCCCGAAGCTCCTCTCGAAACCCTAAACCCTAAACCCTGAACGCCGAACCCTACACCCTAAACCCCTAAACCCTGAACCCTAAACCCTAAACCCTAAACTTCGAAAGCCGGGTGGTAGGTTGAGTCTGTGGGGTCAGCTTTCACCGAAAGCTCCGGGCTCTGAACCCCGACGCCCCAAAGGCTGCAAAGCCCGAAAGGGGTCATTGCTGAAGATCTGAAGGCCACAAGTGCCAGGAAAGGACAAGACGATATATAGAGGCCTGAACCGAAGAGCACGAGGGGGGTGTGTAGTGGAGTCTGAGAGGGTTTTTGTGAAGGTGTTGCTTTATCGGGGTTGGTGTAGTGTCTAAGGGCATCAGCTAGCTAAGATAGGTCTTGGGCAAGTTTCAATATAACTATATAGGGGTTTGAAAAGGGTTGTAAGCAAACAGATACGCCAAGAGCCTGTGGAATCCATGTGACCGGAAGACGCAATGTCGGAACGAGGTATATACAGGTCTGAACACTAATTGTGACAATGCACCTCCTCAGTGGTTCCTTTATAACTACATATAGCATACCCCAAAACCCTATTCTAATTATGAAGGCCCAGATGTTATGCCCTGATGGTAGCCGGAAGCCCTTATAGAAAGCCGTATGGATCCCCTTGAGACAAGAACACCACTTTCATATCATAAAGGCTTCCGCGCGCCCTTCGACCCACATCCGTTCCCACCTCTTCGTGCAGGCTGTAGGGCTTGAGGGGTTTGGGGTTCAGATCTCAGCGGCTCAAGGGGTTCGGGGTGCTATACAACGGTACCTAGGGTTTAAGGGTTTGGGGTTTAGGGGTTTGGGGTTTAGGGGTTCAGGGGTTTGGGGGTTTAGGGTTTGGGGGTTTGGTGTTCTGAAACCCCTAAACCCTAAACCCTAAACTCTCAAATTTTTCATCCTCCGAGGCTGCTTGGCCGTGGCAGATCGGGCCAGGTTGTGGCCCGAAGGGTCGATCCGGACACGGCGCACAGCCTTAGCAGCTTCGACTTCGAGACGCTGAAGGAAACGGGTCTTTCACCTTTCTGCGGGGGTTTTGTGTCGGAGTTTTTGGGTGTTTCGGGCCTGGGATTTATGTGGGCTTTGCTGAAGTATTTGATTTCAGTGGTCCCTTGCCGTTCCCTCAACATGCCTCGGGTTAAGTACCTCGCGGCCGACCCGTTTTTCCTATGTCTTACGTCAGGTCCGCGATCGGGAGCAGTGGAGTCCTTTTGGGGGGTACGTACTTCGCGCGTATGGCGCCGATGGGGCCGGGAAGCTGCAAGATAGATTTGGTTTGGGTCTCAGGTCGTCTAGGGTTGTGGTTGCCGTTGCCGTTGTGGCGTTGCTGTTGCTGTTGCTACGTTGTTGGAAGCATCGTCGGGTGCAGGCTTTCGGACTTTGTAGACCCTGGTAGAGAATCGGACTCCGGGAAGATTCCAGGGTTGCAGTCCACAGCTTCCACCGGTTTCTGGGCGCAAGCCCCTACACGTGGAGCCTCGCAAGCGGATCGAAGTTGGGTTTGCCGGCTTTTGGGACGTATTTTAGGGCTCGAGGGTTCGGGAAGGAGGAGCTAGGGGTGTTTTAAAGTTTCAGCTTTGAAGGTTTCAGGCTTGGCGCAACACGTCCAGGTTCAACCCTCAGAACACGGAGCGAGGGTTGTAGGGTTTAGGGTGTCGGGAGGCAGCCTAAAAACTGTGCGGCCCAGGCTTTGGGTTTAAGGGCTTTGGCCTATAGGCATGTTATCAAGGCTTATTAAAGGCGAAGAACGATAAGTCCAGGACGAAGCAAGATAGACCCCCGAGCAAGAAAACCTGAACCCTGAACCCTAATCATTAAACATAGCCCCTGAGCCCTAAATCAGGCTGTGGTATAGGCCAAAGCTGAACGAGCTGTCACGACGCCAGGATGTCACGACTCTGACGACGGCTGCGGCTGAGTCTCCTGTCCTGGATCCTAATGTGAAGTACCTCTATGGCGCAGATGGAGAGGCCGTTACTCCAAAGTCAGAGAGATGTTCATTGGGGCTTTCGCGTGAGCATGTGAGCGTTGGTATTCCTAGCTCCTAAACCCGACAGGGCTGCGGCAAGTTTCGGATTGAGGGAGTTTTTCCACCCAAACAATCAGCAATTTAGATACTGAGGCTTACAGGACATATAACACAGCAAGGTATAATGAACGACATTACAGCATGTTATGCCATCATTGAATCATATACATATGCACATATATGTACATATACACCCCCAACCAAGGCCAAAACTCCCACACCATGAATTCTTAAAATGCCAAACCGTAATACCCCCAAACCCCATAAACCATTAACCCAAACTCCCTGCCAGGTTTTGATTGACTTGGCAAGCAAGAAGCCCCTCGAGGATCCACCGGAAGGGGGTTCGGAGACCGCTAAGCCACTTGGCCCTGGCCCTTCGCCACTGAGTCCTGAGTTAGACTTTAGGTTAGGGTTGAGGGTAAGGGGTGTAGGGTTTAGGGTTTAGGGTTTCTGAGCAACCCTGTCAGTTCCGTGCAGGACAACTGGTTCAATGCAGCGTGCGGATTTCAAGCGCAGATGATCAAGAACCTGGACCAAGGCCTTTGCTTTCGAAACCCAAACCCCGAATCCTAACGCGTTCGGGCGAGTTCTGGATTTTGTTGTTTACAGGTTCGGGTGCAATTTGGGATTTTCTTGATTGAGAATCGTGCTGGATTGTTTATAGCCATTTATAGCTGCATTGGCCGATGCCTCAAAACGCTGGATCCTCGGAATAGCCCAGAACTCGGACACCCTTCTAGTCCCCAAGCCCGAAAACGCAAGATAACTTACCCAAAACAGGTGGCCCATTCTCTGACTTCCACCATATTCTACGTTCAAATTTCATCTCTGGCCCCTAAACCTCAGAAGACCATAGCCCTAGACCCTGAACCCCTAATCCTCATCCTAAACCCGAACCTTCTCGAAGGGTTGAGGGTTTAGGGTTTAGGATTGCGCCTAACCCCACTGAAATGGATATGGGACGCGGTTTCACTCGCCACAACAGTCCTTTCTATTCCCACCTTGGGTGTACAGGCTTTCAGCCCGAGACAGAGAGAGTTCTGTAGCTTCGTTTGGCTTAGAAGAGACGGGCTCGTGATGCCCTAGACCCGTAAACCTAAACCCTAAACCCTAAACCCTAAACCCTAAACCCTAAACCCCAAACCCTAAACCATCTACCTTCAACGCCAGACTTTCAAAGTTGGCATCCCAAGCTTAAGCATACACCACCCAAACCCTCAACCCTCATACAGCCCAAATCGAAAGCCCTGAGCAGTCAGAGGCCTCCGGTTCATTGGCTTGCAGCAAGCGTTTGGCTGGGCGGTCCTGGCCTACACCTGTCTCATCAAGGCAGGATACATAAAGCTTTAGGTTTTTGGGCTTTGGGGAGACTTTGGGGCAGTTGGATTTGCTGGGCGCCCAAACTACCTCTACATCCTCGATCCGGAACCTGAGCCCTATGGCTTCCTTCTTTAGGGGATTAGGGTTTAGGGTTCAGGGGTTTAGGGTTTAGGGCTGAGGGTTTAGGGTTTAGGGAGGACTTGTGCAGACCTTTGCCGAGTCCCCTCTCCCTTACGGAGCCCTACGCCAATCTCGAGCTGCCGTTCCCGAACCTCCAATCCGACAAGGTGCTGATGTACCCACTGGAGAAGCCGTCGCTGAGGACGCGATCTTGACAGAGAGAAACAGCTCAACAACATTCAACAGAAAGTTTTGACTCATCAGTCACCCTCGGACCCTCAACCCTCAACTTGGAGCCTAAAGTAAAAGCCTGAACCGCCCCGCAGCCTGTGCAATTAACCCAGGGGGAGCATCGAAACTGCAGATATCGGATTCGTCTGAGGCTGCGTGGTTCTGAATTAGCAAGACGAAGTACTGTTACCCTCGTCGAGTTTCCTGTGATTTATTCCTGCAAGTACACGGAAGAGAACAGCAACAATCCTGATGATAGTAAATGATGGTCGTGGATCTACAATCTACAAACAATAGGCGTGTGTGGTGACCGTGATGGTTGAACTTGAACCCCCCTGGAGCACGGAATATCCTAAACCCCAATGCCTCGGTACCCTCAACCCAAAACTCTAAGTCTTCAACACTAAACCCTGACCCCCTAGCAGCGCAGCGGTCCTAGTAATCAGTTATGCCCTTCCCAAGCGCTGTTTAATCTGGATGTACGGTTTAGGATTGGGGTTTAGGGTCTACGATAACATGCCCACCCCCCCACTTAGCATTTAGCGTCTATATATGTTGTTGGATTTTGACATTGCGTTGAAGGCTTTGGACCCAGACTTCCGGCTGAAACCTAAGCCCTCAACTCCGAAGCCTAAACTCTAAGACCCCGCAGCCCTCAACGCCTAACTCCAAACTCCAGACCCAGAACCTGGCGGAGGACTCTGTCGCTGAACAAGATGCTCGCCCCGAAGTTTGCTGATATGAAGGAGAAGATCGCGGAGCCCAAGCCCAACCTCTCTTGGGGGTTTAGGGGTACGGGGCTTCGGGCTTGGGGTTTAGGGATTGGGGGGCCCGAGGCATGTGAAGCAGGATGGTTACTGCTGTATATATCATGACGTAATCTTTCTTTACATCCCCAACAAAACACGCCAAAGATACAATCATGAGCCCAAAACGCATCCACTCCTACTACAGATCCTACTTCGCCGCGTCAACTTTCAAGGATTCCACCTTAGACCAGAGCACTTACTTCGGTTTGGAGCATGAGGGCCTGGCTTCAGGCGTGGGACCGAGGGTAGCCCGTTCAGGGTTTAGGGTTGCGGTTTAGGGCCTACTTTATGGTTTAGGGGTTTCGGCTTTAGGGGTTTAGGGTTTAGAGTTTACGGTTTAGGGTTTAGGGTTTAGGGTTTGGGACCACGGGTGCCCGGTTCCAGTGGATTCTTTCTTGTGCCTCAGCCTCATTTGGTGGGGGGTTCTTCGGCTTTCGGGACTCCGAGGTGTGTGTGGCTGTCAGACTTCACCAGGCTTTTGAGGCACATACCGGCAGACATGTGGTTTTGAGGTTTTTGGATTTGGGGGATCTACGCTGCCTAGATCTTGTAATATACTTCATTTAAATCAGCTCGCATGGGTTTCGAGAAGTATTTCCCCACCCAGGCCTACTGAAAGATCTGGGCATGGTTGAACAGAGGCCCTCCGCCCTTCAACCCGGGGTTTCCTTTGATCTGGCGTTGCGTGCAGTGGTGTATGTGCAACCTAATTTTTTGGCCTTGACAAATGGGTTAGGACCTTGGTGTACCCTAAACCCCAAACCCTAAACGAAGTACAAGGGGATAACATGACTACATTTCTAGTCCCCTGTATTCCAGGGCGCTCTTTCGGTCTTAAGCTCCAGGGATACATCGTTCACTCGAGGTTTGGGCCATAACCGCAGCCACTGGTAAGACTATCCCTGTATTTAGTCCCCATACAAGCTTGCAGCAGAATTACAGCAAACCCTATTCCAATCTTTTGGCGTCCCCCCCTTGGTTTAAACCCTAAACCCTAAACCCTAAACCCTAAACCCTAAACCCTAAACTCTAAACCCTAAACCCTAAACCCTAAAACCAAAACCTGGACCCCGGGACATCCCGGAACCCTAAACCCTAAACACCGAGGACGAGCAAGTCCTTCAGAAGCGCACCTTGAAGATCTACGAGCGCTTCGACCTGAACCCACTGACGGGATGCCTCCCTGTGCCTCTGATGCCATTGGCCGTGGGCTCTCTAGCATCTGTCCATGCATACATCTACATGCACCTCTCTCTCTCTCTCTCTGTCTCTCTGTGTGCATGGGCACATATATACATGTATGCATGCACACATATTTATACATGCTTGCACGCACACACACACAACGTATGTATGCATGTTTACACGTTCCAACGAGTATCTATCTGTGAAATTCTGTCACTTTGTCTGTCTGCGTCTGTCTGGGTTTGTGTCTCTGTCTGTGTCTCTGTCTGTGTGTCTGT